TTCCACAGTGCCGAAGAAAATCAACAAGTGCCTGCAGAAGCATTCGAATACCATCTCAAGTTGAATCTTTAAACTTTTCTTATATGGGAGCTGAATCTTTAAGCTTTCTGTTTCGTCTGATATTTTGTTTTATGTGGGTGTAATTTCCATTGTCAACTTGTTTAGGGATCGTGTAAATTATCATGGGGATGCTGAAACGGGAGCATTTACATACATACCACCTGAATGGATTGTTTGATTGAGCTTTCTGTGTTTGTTTGAAAGATAATTTTAAAGTGTTATGAAAATTGGCTTTGCTCTGTAATGAGAAGTTGTGTATTTGTTCTTTGTCACGTTGTTGCTTGTTAGTAGTATTCCAACTATAGTTTTGCATATAAAGTTTATACGGTGCAATGGAATTTATGATTTATATTTGGATTCACATCACTAACATAATATTATGTGTAAAAATTGATGTTTTCTCTTGCATTTATTCCGATACGTTTTCTTCTCGTTTTAAACTTTTTTCAAATATTCTCCCGTTTGAAATAATTGACTAATGGATGTTATTTCGTTGCTTTCATGAAAGATGGTTCCAGATATTCTAGGACATCCCGTAGAATGATATGCTACTGCGGACTATAGACTTCCTTTCTGAAGTCACGGCAGGTCCACAGCTACGGTCAACACTTTTACAGATGCCCCTGGAGACTCGCAGAACATTGTGACTTCATCCGGTGGACTGACAGTCAATTCGATTCCACAGCTGGAAGTGATCACGAATTGATAGCATTATTGGAGGACAGTTTAGGAGGGGACATTCATCGCCTTCATGTTAAAGACAATATCATTATTAGTTTACTTATAATTTTATTAGTTTTTGTCTTTTTCTTAGCACTTTTGATACTCGTTGCTAAGTGAGTGATGTATTCGAACTTTTGTTATATTTTGAAGTGAATTTCAGCTTTTGAATTATCAAATATTTCGCTGTCATTATTCTATTTTAAACAGTTTCACTAAATAGGGGCAGAATAGTCATTTTTTCAGACACAGCTGCATCACAGCTGTTTTCACATAGTTGCACCAAACAGACAGTCAGTTTCTCCGCAGCAGCTTCCCCGCAACAGATTCCTGGGACAATACAGTTGCAGTTGAAAAGCTGAGAAGCTGCAGCTACGCCAAACAGAGTCATTTAAAAAAAATCTAAATCCAACTATTAGGTGGATTTAACAGATTTAGCTTAGGAAGAAAACAAGTCAAATGAATTTACGCCAATCACATCAAATTAATTTAATTGGATTTAACCTTAACTGAACCAAACACTATTCTGAATTTAACAGCATTTGGATTTGATAAATTTGGATTTACCAAATTTACCAAATTCTATTTAACTTAAATACTGATTGCAGCCAAACACCCTCTTAGTATTCTATGTAATCATGTAAGCATATTAATAGGATCTTTCCGTGACAATCCACATGTTTGCAATCTGCTTGTAGTTGATGATCATTATGATATTTTATTTCTTTTAATGAAAAATGCCATGAAATGATACTCTGGAAGTACAAGTTTGCTATGTAGTTTAGTTTCAAAATCTGATGAGATTCGATCTTTTGCAATGACTATCCTTTCTAACTTTCGCTTATTGGAGATTCCCTGGTAGGCAAGCCACTCCTCCCTATAAGATTTGCAGTAAAAAAAGGTTCCTTTGGTTCATTATTCATTTTGTTCAGCAAGCTGGTTTGATTCCTCTCAGTGCTCTCCTTTTACTTAAGTGTATTCCTTTTCACTATTATCAGAAAAGTTACCATGATATGTTCATATGGATTTAAAAGGCCATCAAACTAGCACACCCGACAAAATGAAAGGTCAATTGTTCTTCAGCCAAGATCTGCATTAGCTTGACCAGCAACATTTCACGGACTCAGTCCTCCCTCAAGGTGTGTCAGTGTATGGCAAGGTGTATTGTACATCTATCTATGACCAACTTGCTCAGTTTTCTTGCAGAGCAATTGTTAATTGAGTCTGTTTTCGATTCAGGCCCACCCAGTTATTGCAGAAGTCCAAGCCCAAAAGGGTGCAGAAAATGGTTGTAGTTTCTGGGCTCAAGTGAAAGGGTAGGTAGCATCACAGATCAGGATTAAGTAATCTTCAGTGGGTAATTTAAAATAAAACTTCTATAACATCTGTAGCTTTTACAGGCTTTTATTTCTTGGGAGGTTAGGGATCAACTCCATGTCGGAGGATCAGGAGGCAAGCGAATCACATGTTTTGGAGGTGTCTATTAGCTTTTAAATAATTTTTACTGTGGCCTGGTTTGCGTGATCGAGTTTGCTCTCTTCTTATTAATTGGCATATCTTTGACACCTCACTATTTAAAATATTTAACTGTGGCGCTTTTCTGTTGTGGTAGCTCAATCATACTTTGAAAAAATAGCTTTGAATGCTGCATGTCATTTGACAGTTTTTATGACGAGACAATTCATACTGATATTAGCCAACTCCATCTTTTAAGCTTTTTTTTTAAGCAGTGGTAAGACTAAAACAACGCGCACAGAAATCCTATTAGTGATTTTTTTCCTTTTTTTATTTCTTCTGTTTTTTTTTTTTTTTTTTTTTTTTTATGGGAATTTGGTTCACTTTAAGTTCTCAAATTTTGAACGCTTGTGGTATGCTGCTTTCTTGAACTTAATGTATTTTACCAAGACCAAATGCACCATTTGAACTATTTGGACTGCGATGAACAATATGCTCATGATCCTTACATGTTTTTACAAGTTATAAAATAATTATATCTATGACGATTTTGTTAGATCTCAAAATTTCTTAAATGCAGAAATTAATTATCATAGCTATTCATACCTTAATCAGCACAGTTTACAGAACCGCCTTCTCTATTAACTGGATATGATAAGCAACGTTTGTTAAATTCTAAGAAAACATGGTGGTAGATCATACTCAGTAAATGTGCCTTTGACCCCATTCACCAATACAGTTTGCCATTATTCAGGGCATCTCTAGCTTTATAAATTTATTTCTTGTATGTTTTACAGATTCATCTGCTAGCCGGTGGATATGAGTATTGTAAAGGAGGGTATCAGCTGAAATAAAGCTAATAATCTTGCAATGGAAGTGAACGAAAAAATAATAAAAATTATAGATGTTTTTGTATTATGCCTAAAAAACATTAGTTTTGTTCATTCTTCTATAAATTAATTCCATTCAACGTTAATGAACACAAGCTACTTGCTTGCGCATAATTAAATGTTTGATTTAGTTCCTCATTTATAAGTTCATTCAATTAAAACCGCATTTTTTAAGCTCATTAAACTACACATTAATAAGCTTGATAAGACTTGTTCAATTGGTTAATAAGTTGCTCGATAGGTTGTCTCATTAATAGGTAATATAAGATTTGTGCACATGATTAAGCTCAATAAAGCTTGTTCGGGTAGCTAACAAAATGCTCAATAGCAGCGCTTGAGTTAATTCCCATTTATTTTTTTATCGAGCTACTCATTTAAAGCTCAATAAATATAATGTGAATTGAACACAAGCCGAGCTCAAACCAAGCTTGAAAAACTATATTTTGATACAAATCAAGCCTGAACACAACTGAAAAAACTATCAAGCTTGTAAAACTACTCATTTACAAGTTCATTCATTTAAAACCGCATTTTTTAAGCTCAATAAACTACTCATTAATAATTAGTTAATAAGTTGCTCGATAGGTTGTCTCATCAATAGGCTGGATAAAATTCATTGAATTAGCTAATAAGTCGTTCACACAATAAAGCTTGTTTGGGTAGCTAACAAAATACTCAATAGTAGGGCTAGTTAATTCCAATTTATTTATTTTATTGAGTTACTCATTTAAAGCTCAGTAATTATAATATGAACTGACACAAGCCGATCTCAAACCAAGCTGAACAACTATATTTTGATACAAGCCTAAACAGAGCTAGAAAAAAAAATTTCCGTCAAGCTTGAGTTGAACCAAAACATCATTTTGACAAACGAGCTCGAGCTCAAACTCAAACAATTTGTTGCTCTGATCACCTCTGTTTACAACCCTAGTTTCTAATGTGAAACTTATTTGTGCTATATAAAGGGAGGGGGGAGTTATTCAACTAAAAGGGTGGTATTTGTTTCAAAGATATATGTTATGTATTGCCATATTACTAAGAGATGGTTGTTGGTTGTTTCACTAACATCTTTAAATAACAATATCATAAACAACATTTAAGTCCCACTTTTATGCCATTAGATGCCAGTCTTAACCAAATCGATAGACATCTAGAAGTTAAACTAATGTTATGTTCAAAACAAATGACACCAAAGAAAATATAATAATCTCTATTGATCCTTTTGGATAGCATCACGTTGTCAAGATAGCAAAAAAAAAAAAACAACAAAAAACAAAAAAAAAATTATAAAATTATTTAGTAGATATTGGAAAGCAATGTCATTTGAATAACATCGTTGGCATAACATTGCTATCTTTATAACATTGAACCATTATTTTGAGACACTTAAAATAGACCTTATTTCTACTTTAGGTGCTAACCTTTTGACATGTATTCCCAATATATTGCAAGGCACTCACATTGTGTCTCTCCTTGTTAGAGCAACTAAGGTATTAACTTCTCAATTAATATGATTAGAACCTCTACAAAACCTATTTTGACAAAAGGAGCCAACATTAAACTCTACTTAGGAAATTTAAACTATCTTAAGTACAACAGAGCCTAACTTCCAAAGGTTTCATCTTAGATCTACTGTAAGTTGATGGTCTCATTGATCAATTTACATAAAGTCTTAATGGAAGAGAAAATAGTCTATCTCATCCTCTATGCGCCTGCACAGTAGGTGTACCTAATTTTAAAAATAATATAAAAATATTGCAAAATATGTTTTATCATATGAAATAAAAGCATGATAGAATGACAAAACTCACTACATTCAATCTATGCAGGTATGATTAAAATATTGTGCTGAAATAAAACAATAATATAACTTACTCTCAGGCCAATCTGCCAATGTTGGATCTTCCCAAGTCTGTCCTGCTGCTTTACGTGGGATAGATTTCTTCTTAGTTTCAGCTTTATGTTCATTCTCACTGCTTGCAAGTGCAGCCTTCACACTTTCAAGGGCCTCTGGTGTGATAGTTTGTGCGTCACGTTGGAACAATTGTTGTGCCTGTGAGATGACCAAAATATTTTGATAACTCCATTTTACTCATGAAGAAAAAGAAAATTCATTTGAGCATCAACCAGTAAAATCATGAGAAAACAAAACATAAAATTCCAATTTCAAAAGAACTGTGACTTTAATTTTGGTAACAAGTGAAGCAAAATCTTTAAAAATTTGATCAAAAAGAAGGGGAGGTGATCTTAATGAAGATCAAATAATTATACATAGAAATGAAGAAAAGAAAATGAGAATGAAATGCCTTTACCATAATATCCCGCAACAACATTAGGTTATAGAACTTTATAAAAGAAGTTAAAAAAATATTTAAATCATCATGTAAGTGTACCTAAAAGACTATAAAGATTTAAGAAGAGCCCATCATTTTTTTTTTTTTGCACTATGTTAAGAACTTGTTATTCAAGATATGTTTTGTGCCCGTTCATACATAAACAAGACATACTTCCTTTAGAGTCAATTCAACCGAGCAAAGCTCTTCCATCATTAACTTTCATAGAAAATGAGTAAAGGATAAAATTAATCCCAAGAAATAAAACGAAACACTTAAAAATCATCATTGGTGAGAAGCACTTTAATGTTTTGCCGCAACTTTTGAGTTCCATTCATACCCAAGTTCAATTGGCAGTTAATTAAGATAGAATAAAGGGAGGGAAGAGGCCTAAGAGTAGAGATTGAAGCATTGATATCTAATATCGAAGCACACTCATTACTCGACTTGCAGTAGTAGCGCTCATCCCCATTAGTAGTGGCACTCATTTCCTCCTCTATCAGCAGCATCAGGTAACATTATAAAGACGATCATCTCCATTGCAGCATCTCTGCGATGACATTCTCCCTCAAGTCCTTGACCTTCTTTCTTGGCCTTATCTTCCACGCTCTAATATGTGAATAATAAAATGATTTTGTCATATATATATATAAAATGGATCACAAAGTGCATTTGCGATCCACCCGTATACTGTCCAAGACATGCCTCAAACCCAGGACCCCAAGGGTCCTACACATTTTGTCTACCAAAGAGCTAACCAGTTCTCACATATATATTTTTTTAATATCACATATAAATTCTATAAAACATTTTTTTATTACTAACAAATAAATTACATTTTTACATGAAAAATTTTGGGTGAATATTATTATCACCATTTTTTACTAAGAACGCATTTACCCCAAATATACTGATGACAGCTCTAAAAACTAGATATTAAAAAAGTCTTTTGTTAATTTAGTGCTTCACCCTCTCAAATTGGTATAAGCAGTTGTCATCATAAGAGATAATTTGTAATAACTTAAATCTCCCCAAGTTCCTCTCTAAACAATCTCTTCAATTGAAAGCATCAAATATTTCTACCTTGATTATAACTATACTCAGGAATACTAAATTGTAAAGTTGAACAAGAAAAAATAGTTCATTTTGTTTATATAATTCTAAAATTTATGTACTTAATTTTGTTTGTGTGCTTTAATGAATACATTCCGGTGCTTGATATATTAAATATAAGAAATAAGAAAAAGAAATAATATTAACAATGCACTAAACAATAAGAGCATATTTTGCTAGACAATTTGAAAGAATTTAAAATATAATCATGTCTTTAGATTTTAGGAAAGAATTTAAAATAGGAAATGATTTAAAATAAAAAGTGAGAATAAAATAATCATAATTTTAGATTTTAGGAAAGATTTTAAAATAGGAAACAATATAAAATAAGAAAGGATTTTAAAATAAGAAGGAAGAATAAAAATCATATTTCATTTTTAGGAAAGATTTAAAATAAGAAAATGCTAGAAAAGAAAATAAGAAAGAAAGAAAGGAAAACGGAAAGGAGGAAAAAGGGAAAGGAGGGGAAAAGGGAAGTAGGGAAGAGGAAGGAGAAAACCCATGTGTCAATTTCTAATACAAGGAATTTGGAAATTGAATTGTTTGTTTGGAAGAATTTGAAATTCAATGTAAAATAAAAATGTATTTGAAATTCAATCCATAGTTCATTTTCTTTGTATTTGAAAGTCATTTGATTTGGCCAATTTCCAAATTCACACCTCAATATAAAGTGTTGCTGCCACTGCTGCCCTGCCACCCAGACATTAATTTTTACATTGAAATATTTTGTTTTCATTTTACTTCAAACCAAACGAATAAAAAGTGAAGTTGTCCATTTATTTTACAATGAACCAAACAACTTCAAAGTATTTCAAATACAGTATATTACTCCTACATTGCATTTATTTCGCAAAATAACTAATGAGGTATTTTAAATGATAAGAGGCAATTTCCTTGATTTCCTTCCAAGCACAAATAGAGTAGAAAATTCAAAAAATAAAAAAAAAATAGATAAACCTTCTCATGCAATAATTTATTCACCAACAAAAAATTTGTAATTTATCAGCTCTGAGTAAAAACAATCATATGATTTCTCATCTTAGCCAAACAACAATCTCAATATGATTAAATTGAGAGAGAATCAATATTGATTGATTCAATATTATATTAGACTAAGTATCCATTCTAGGAAAACAAAATTATTTTTTTCAATTTTCCGATTATTAAAGCTTATTGGACAAATAAAGTCTGAACTTAATCCAATCTTTCCCAAAGTATTAATTATATTATGGATCTCAAAATTAGACTCTTTCCATTCAACACCAAATATCTAAGTAGGATGGATTAACATTGATTTAACAAACCTTATAATTCTCTTTCCATTCCACACCAAATATCTAAATAGGATGGATTAATATTGATTTAAAAAACCTTATAATTCTTAGTTTTAAGTTTCCTAATCCCAAACCATGTGAAAGAGATCTAACCAAGAAAATAGAAACCACTTTTACCGCCTTATTTATTCCTAAATTGAGTATTAATGTGTGGAGAAACTTGTAGGGAATAGGGATATATTAAAGAATGCTTACATCAGAAGAGTTGGACTGACATCTATTAAAAACAGCGCAAGCAAAAATATTTTTTTATTTGAATATCTACAATAAAGGATAGAAACTATGCATATTCGATTGGCGGAAAAAATTAATGTCAAAAGATCAAGATGAAAAAGGGATAGACCTAAACAATATGGAAAGAAGCAATTAAAAAAAGTTCTGAAGATAAGTTTATCGCTCCAAGGAGAGCAGGAAT